GGAAATAGCACTGAAATGCGCTGTTTTGTGTACCTTAAAGGACCGTGTTCAACACGCATTCGTTACACAAGGCCACAAGTCTCACCCCACCGCGTCCTGTACGTCACATAGCAGCCAATGACAGGCACGTGTCACCCGCCACACCTCCCAGTCGAGCCAATGAAGCAGTGAGTAGACCTCCTTTGGCGAATGGGAGCGTGTCTGGGGCACATGGGCCGCGATGCCAGATACTCATACACAAAACTTGTACAACAAAAATCTTCAAAATAAAACAAACCCCACCTTGATATCTTCATTAGTTGTGGAGTAAGAAATGAAAAACTTTAGGAGCTTGTTTCTCACTTTTTAAAAAAATGGCACTTGCAGCCTTGTGATTCTAAGGCCTTCAAATACTGTACACCCACCTCTACTCGTCTATAATAGCCAAACCACGCTCAATTAAAGTGAATGCCTCTGTCAACCGCTTTGCTGTTGGAGTTTGAACGACCTCAGGCTCCTCTTTCTTCTCTGCTTCCTCATCTTCCCGCTCTTTTTCAAAGTCAAGCAGATCTTGGGGCGAAAGTTCTTCTTTATGGGAGTCTAATAACTCCTGCACGTCTTCTAACTCCACCTCTTCAAGACCTATTTTCTTAGCCAAACTCACAATGTTTTCTCTGGTTTTAGACAGATCACTTTCAACACTAAAACCTCTAAAGTCATGCGCAAGATGCGGACACAGTTTTTTCCAAACTCCATTCATACACGAATGACTAACTTTGTCCCATGACTTACCAACAAGCATTATAGTCTCTGAATTTTTTAACAGTCATTTTACCATCATCAGTAGCCTTCACTACAGCATCAAATGTTTTGTTTAGATAATAAGCCTTAAACGTACTAATCACTCCTTGATCCTTAGGCTGAATGAGGGATGTCGTAGTTGGTGGAAGATGGACAACTTGAATGTTTTCACAAAGATCTTGAATTGAAGGTGGATGTCCGGGGGCATTATCCACTAGCATTAATATTTTAAAAGAAAGATTATCACGTTCACAATATTCACGTAACTCATCTTTCAGCTTTGACACAACATGGTCACAGAAAATATTACCAGTAATACACCCCTTGCTATTTGAAAAGTATTGAGCTAGTAAGAGATGTTTCAAATAACCCTTGAGAGCATGTGGGTTTGCGGAATGGCACACCATTACTGGTTTTAATTTGTAGTCACCTTTGGCATTACCTCCTAACAATAAGGTATCATGATCCTTAGCGGCCTTGAAGCCTGATGCTGTTTTTTCTTCACAGGAGATATACGTTCGTGCTGGCATTCTCTTTCAAAATACTGTAGAGCCATTTCATCCAGATTGAAAATCTGCTTTGCAGAATAGCCTCACTCTTGAGTAATACCCTTCAGAGTTACGACAAACTGCTCTGCAGCCACGGTATCGGCAGATGCAGCCTCCCCACTCATCTTGAGGTTGTGATACCCGTTTCTTTACCTGAAGTGAGCAAACCAACCAGAACTAGCACTGAATGGTTTCACTGGGTCTTCTTCATCCTTTTGCAGCTCTTCATAGATTGCTCACGCTTTTGCCTGGGCTAGGAACATGCTGATTGGTACGTTGCGCTGACTTTGATCTTCGATCCACGTACTCGGCATCCTTTCCATGTGCTCCATTATAGAGCTCCGAGCGTAAGAGGGTTTCGTTGCAATTGCAGGTGTTCCTGATTGAGCACTGTTCTTTATCTTCTCAGCATTGTATTGAATGGTACGAACAATGCTCTCACTTACTGTAAACCAAGCATCCGGTCAACATCCGATACACACTCTCCTCTATGAAGGTGGTTGATCACATATAATTTCACATCCACTGTAATTATTTTTTGTGCCTTTTTAGCTTTAGGCGCCCCAGAGAAGGCAGATAGATGTTTTTCTTACATGCTCAATGAGGAAAACCGCTTTTAACACTCAAAAAATACGTGATGAACACACAAAATAAATGAAAGCACAGAGCAAAAGTAGTGCAGATGTGAACTGGAGCGATACGCGAGAAGCTTGCTGGAAGTCGTCACTGTTGTTGTACAGAATACTTCATTATCTTCATCATCATTAGTAGTAATAATCTTTATTATTACATTATTATAATAATTATTATTATTACATTATTATAATAATTATTATTATTAATAATATTATTAAAATCGTTGATATGAATGTGACTTTATAGTAATACTGTACGTACAAGCACCTCACCTAGCTTCACGCTTGACTCCACTGCCGGTTACTTACCTTGGGTAAAAGTTGTTTACTGCATCAATTTGGTGGGAATCTGTGGCGCCAACCTGCCATAGTGCAGCTTTTTGTGAGTGTGTACTGGGTCATCTGCTAAGTTGAGTCAGTCAACACTCAATCCTCAACATGTAGGTAAGTTTCAAGCAATGCTATGCCATCAGATTTTGCTTCAGACTAGGAAAAAATGGTGCAGAAACCCATGAAATGATCAAGGAAGCCTACAATGATAAAGCAATGTCCGGTGTTCAGGACTTAAATTTTCAGGTTGCAAAGCACTTAAAAGAAGGGTGCACCTTTGAAAATGAGCGTCGTTCTGGGTGTCCTGCCTCTGAGAGAAATGATGAAAATTTCCAGAAAAATTACCACCTTCTCCATGAACATCATTGGGTGACCATCCATGTGATTGCTGAGCGATTGACCATATGGAAATGTTAACTGGATTCTGACTGATGACCGGCAATTGGCTGCTTCACCAGGACAACGCACCTGTACGACTTCTCTGTGAACAATTTTCTGGCGAAGCATGGCATCCCAGAAGTCCCCTGCCCTCCAGATCAGGCCCCCTGTGGCATCTGGCTGTTTCCAAAGTTCAAGTTGAACCTCAAGGGAAAGAAGTCATGGATAGATTGGAGATCCAGGACACATCGCAGAAGGTGTTTTCCTGCCTCACCAACGAGGACTTCCAGTTCAACTTCCAGAAGTGGAAGGACCTGATTCAGTGCTGCACTGGAGAATATTTTGAGGGTGACTAAAGTTTCACTGTAATATCTTAAAAAATAAAGATTTTATAAAGCCAATCCAGGAACTTTTGGATCACACCTTGTAGGTCACCTTAACAACTACCCTGTAATATGTTTTTCTATTACGCTAGAGGCATGGTCACATGTCATGTATGATGATCTGGCATTAGATATATAGTTCAGTGTCTTGCACGTGTTTCATATGCATATCATACAGTAGAGGTATTTCAGGATGATGTTAATGTTCTTATTTTGATGTGAACAGTTATCGCTACACACTACGAGTTTTCCAAAGTCATCAACACTATATTTATTGTTTATCTAGCATTTAATACAACTGCCTATCTTAACTGAACCATGTTTACCTGTCACTTCATCCTAAAGGTACATTGTGGAACTGTTAGTTTTCAAATTATGTATGCATAACTTAAGTTCATGGTAATCTACACTCATTGATAGATTAGGGGTTGGCACTGTCTGTTGTAGGTCAACACAGATCACCTGTACATTATCATCAATCTTCTGCGCGTACGTCTTCATAAGTTACTGACCTTGAGCACCTTGTGGTGATGCAACTCCTCCCTCAACTGCTGCACGATGCTTTCATCTCTCTCTTCTGGAGCAGTACTGATGGATGCAGTCACCACAAGCACTGCAGGTATCCTTGTGTGGTGGGGTCTATGTGGGGATGTGGCATGGCTGCAATGACTTGAAACTGAGAAGTATCGCAATGTTCACACACACGGTAGGGCTGGCTGCCAACAATCATTGTACCTGGCTCATGCTTCTTTCCAACAGATGCACTAGCAGCACTACTGTTCTTTTATTTACATCAATCTCAACCAGAGTCCTCTTTAATCCCAAAATGGATAAAAAATCATGTCTACACATACACAACAGTGTATGGATATTTATGGGAACACAGGCGACCTTGAGCAGCTGGATTTTTTTTTCTCGGTGCCCAGTCACTGGTACTTTAGGCACCAGTTTCTGAATGAATGCATTTTGCTAGTCATAGTTATCAATATTCCCAAATTATTTAAGTAACCTGCCAGTCACTATCCTGGTGACTTTTGTAAAGCATCATTATTACACAGTAGTCCAATGACACATTGTCCATCAGCTTTTTTACTGTAGTTGCTCACATAACATTAACCACGGTTTTGCTTTGATTTACGGTTTTTCATCTATTGATATCTCTTCTTACCCATTTTCTACCACAGGAAGTATTAAGCACATAACTATCAATGAAATCACCCATTTTGGCTATAACAATTAATTGAAGAAATAAGGTAAAATAATGGCATAAACCAGGTGTGTATCATTTAAGATAACAATCAAAATGCCTTTGGAAAACTTGATGTGTAGGTGTCTGGGGCTCCAGATTTCACCCTTCTAATAGGGTGAAATCTTGTAACACAGCTCCCATTGGTCAACTATGAGGTCAGAAAGTATGTCATGAAGAGAGAGCGAATAGGATCATCCTGGTTTGCTGGCTGGCTGCCCGTGTAGATGTGTTTAAGCTTGTTCAGGGAGGATTGTGCGACATACAACAGCATTTTCAGAGGACTCGCCCACATGTACAGGTTTTCAATCGGCTTGTTGATATACCCAGGGGACATAGAAGGGGTTAGGGAATACAATGTTATAAATAACTTGTTACTGCACTATATAGCACATATCAGAATATGGTTCTGAGCGCCTCAATTATGCGAATCAGTGGTGTAACTGGCTACCCCTTTCCAAGGTTACACTGGCCTACTAGGTATACAGAGGCGTGTGTCAGGTGGCTCAACTTTTCTGTGATGTATTTGCCCAAATTTGGGAAGATATAGTAATTATTTCTTAGACTGTATGCATTAATGATGTAAAGACAATTGCAGTTTAGGTGTATAATGTCTCTAGAATTAGGTGTTGGTAGTGTTAACTTGTATTTTTACATATACAGGTATACTGTATGATTAAATGTGAGTTTAAAATTTCAGGCCAGCAAATGGAGGAAGATGGAAAAGAGTGGGTCTGTCCCAAATGTAAAAAGGCTGAACGTGCTATGAAGGGGTTTGTGTCTCCGGGTAAGAAGATAGCCGATATATCATCATGTGCCACTTCAGAAAATAATCCCACAGAAAGTGAGACACGTGGCGTGTCAAGACCAAATGTTACCAAAAAAGGGATGCAGGGAGGATATAAATGTGATGTTTATGAAGAAGGCCTAACAATAGCCAAGAAAACCATTGAAGGTGTTAAGAAAGTAGATGGACAAGCAGTACCTAAGAGAAGAAGTATATCTCAAGAGTGCATTGCCCTGCCAATTGAAGAGAAGAAGATGGATATACCACAAATAATAAGGCTGTCTCCACAAAAACATGTAGATGGAAGAAAAGAGGTAAGGGGTAGTGCTTTGTACACTTTTATTAAGTATATATTTTGATGTAGTTACTCAGATCCTAACTACTTATGCTATTTCTCTCATTGTCAGCTGAAAGTTTTGTTATTGGTGTCTTAGTACAGGTTGACAACCCTTTATCCGAAATTCTGAAAACCGAAAAGCTCTGAAAACCGAAAGTTTTTTTATTTCGCCAGGGATTAGCCCACCCGGGCACAGGTCACTGACCCACATCGGGGCCTGGGAAAATAATAGTAATAATAATTATAATAATAATAATTATTCATCATAAATAAAAATTTTAATAAATACACAAAAATAAATTAATAATAATAGCAATAATACTGTAATAATAATAATTATTATTATTATTATTATTAGTTAATTAATTAATTAATAATAATAATAATAATAATATTAAAAGAAATACAAGAATGAAAAAAAAAAAAGTGAGAAACGCACGAACTATGAATTATTATTATTATTATTATTAATTATTATATATTTTTATTATTATTATTATTATTATTATTATTATATATATTATTATTATTATAATTATAATTAATATTTAGCCCCAGGCCCCAATGTGGATCAGTGACCTGTGCGGGGTGAGCCCTGTAAAAAAACCTAAACATTCTGAAATCCGAAATGCATCTGGCCCCAAGGATTTCGGATAAGGGATTGTCAACCTGTAAAAAAATTTGGTGTTTAGTGTAAATGAAGTGTTCATAATTATTTCATTCCTCATTAATTTAATTTTCAGTTCTGCTTTGGTGATGCATCTTGGCATTGTGTTTTCTTTTATATATATATATATATATATATATATATATATATATATATATATATATATATATATATATATATATATATATATATATATATATATTTTACAAATATATAGAAGTGGAATGGCCATCATGATGGTTGGTGTGAATATGGATACCATGTCGCTAATGCATCATACAATCCAAATTTTTCAAATGGGAATATATATATATAGCAATTGGTGTTGCTGATGTATTTTCACCTTGGCAGTGTGTGGTAGAGTCGTGCAATAAGGCTCCAAAAGCGGACTCCATCTACTGTAGCAACGACTGTGTTCTCAAGCATGCACAAATGTCCCTTAAAATGTTGGGAAAAACTGACAAGGTTTGTCATCAAGCTTTGCTGCTTTTGAGATGGAATTGTGTATATAGTAATCTCTCTGTTAGCGGAACTCTCTAACCAGAACTCTCCAATAGCCAAAATTGAAATTTGCTAAGAATTTTTCTGGAAAATTCTCAATTCCGGGTTTGAAAACAAATTCCGGAAAAATCTGGAAAATTTGTCCAATTTTTTATTTCTGGTTTAGGAGCCAATTTTGGTAATGAAATAATGCTAATTACTGGAAAATCCGAGAAAATAGCGAGAAAATCTCCAAACCTTTCTACTCCAATTTTCCTTACATTTTCTGGAAAAATTCCAAGTGGATTTTCCCGGTGCCCGAAAAATTTCAGGGATGGGAAATTCGTTTTGAGATGAAATAAACCATCTTTCTGGAAAATTCTGGTGCCCAGAAAATTCCAGGGATGGGGATTTTTCCATGTTCGACAGATGATGTAATGCGCAATTTCTAGAACTTACGAGAAAATTTTCCTGGTACCTGGAAAATTCTGGAGATGAAGGATTTTTCCGGCTTTGAGAGAGTCATCCTGTTACCGAAATCTCTCATTCCCGGAAATGCTCTGCACCAATTGTTCCGGCTAATGGAGATATCACTGTACGATATATACAGTATACTATTGATTTAACGGAATCCAATACAGTAGACCCTTGTTATTCATGGGTTTTGCGATTCACGATTTCGATGATTCGCGTGTGCTGATAGTGGCCTAGTGCCAATGCTAGTAATGCTAGTGGAGTGAAATGTAAAAGTCAGAAGTTATTGATGACCCTGACAAAGAAAGTTTTATTATTAGATAAGTTAAAGAAGAGGATGAGTGTTGCCGCGGCTGGTCGGTTGTTTGGTGTATACTGTAGTGCACTAAGGTAGTGTAAGTTACTATTCACGGTTTTGCCTATTCAACCCATTCTGAACCTAACCCCTGTATCGCAAACTCTCGATTTAACAGATGGCATTAATAATTTTTTCGCTCGATTTAGTGAACTAGATCGAGATTAATTCCGCATGCGCTCACATCTACGGAGACACTTCAGACACATGATAAAGTAAAACCTCACTAAGGCAGACTAATTGCGGCTAAGGGTGTCTGGGAGAAGAGGTTGTCCACCTTAGAGCATTTTTAAAAAGACCGCCAAATTTAACAAAAAGACGAGTACAACACCAAAGAATCCAAGTTTTATGAATAAAATAAATGTTTTTTAATCAAAATTAATTAAAAAAGTGATGTACATAAAGTACTGAAAACTTACTTTTAGTTCATTGATAAGGTGTTAGGCTTAGCCTTCTCATCACCCTTATGGACACCAAACACTTTCTTAGGGGTCATGGTTATTGTTTAATTTTTCAATAATAATGCCAAAAATATGTGCGTATGTACTGAATGTATAAAAACGATAAATACTGACACAAAAAATACCATTTTAGTAGGAGTATTTAGGAAAAAACTTTTGTGTGTATTTTCCTATTGTAGCCATAGTTTTCTTAAAATAATATATACAGTACCAAGAAATGTGAGGAATAAATAAAAATAATACCCGTCCCCAAAATACTATATTGCCAAATCCAGAATAAAAGCCAAATGAAAGTTTAACAGTCGCCATTTGCATACACTCCTTGTTTCATCATAGTAATGAAGACCAGCTGGAATGCCGATTCCTTAGCAATGCTCCCCATCCCCTACACTCTGCACCCTCCCCTTCCTCACTGTTAGTTAACTCATGTGCAAAGAAATGTATATACCCTCTGTGTGTTTGCCCCTAGGACAATTATTTCTTTTGACTTTTTTCACAATATGTATGTAGGATGGTGTGTGCATGTTACTGAGTAAAAATAAATGAAGAAAGTTACGTATATATACAAATTTACAAGTTGAATAACAACCATAACACAGCTTGTCCCAGCCTGGTGGTTACAATGATGAGTCTAACCTGGCAATAATGCCATGATTAATCACTATTAACCACTATTATATCAGTATACACTAATAATAACAGTAAATCCAGTGAAAAATGGCAGGGAGGGAGGAGAGTTACAAGAGCAGACGACACTCAACTAGCAGTCACTCGACTCGCTCCTCTAAGCCCATTCAGGTGTACAATCAAAATACGTATGGGAGAAATACATATCTCTTAGTCTAATTTGAAAATGGTTTCGGGTAGTGATAAACGATAACATCATAAGCATTGTATCATTACTGGAGTGAATTAAATAATATTTCCACAAACAACTAATAATAACACTCAAGAGGTAGAGTGACAGATAGCAGTGAACAACCCATGCAGTGGCAGCAGGCCACAGACTGAGTTGATGTAAACAAACCCCACGCTCCAATCGACGTGTGACGCCGTGGTGCAGAATTTTAACGGAATCACACTCGATTTAATGAAATAGTTTGGTAACTTAAGCGAACAGAACGGAAAGGTTGATTTAGTGGAAATTTCAAGTTAACAGACAGGGGTGGCTCAAAATAGTTTATTAAAATGAAAAAATACTGTATACACAGTATGTAAGAGATATCCCCGTTAGCTGGAACAATTGGTGCAGAGGATTTCTGGGGCAGAGATTTTGGGTTTACCAGACGACTTTCTCAAACACGAAAAAATTCCCCTATCTCTGGAAATTTTTCCGATTATTGGGAAAAGTTTTTGAGTGTCTAAACTATGCATTTTATGCAGACACTAGCCCACATCTTCAGAATGTTTCTGGGTGCTGGAAAAAGTTTTCCAAGAGTGTAAACTAATGGAGTCTGTAAAGAGATTGGTATTTTCCACTTCCATGGAGCTGTAGGGGATTAGTGGGTCTCGTATTGACCTGACCTGACACAATGTCAGGTGGAGGTAGGGTGGGGGATTAGTGATCTAATATTACTGGCCTGATGGAATGTCAGGTCACCCATTGTTGGATGGGGAATTAGTGGGTCTCATGACCTGAAGATGTCTTGAATAAAGACAAAAGCTAAAGTACAGTATTTTTTGGAGATTGTGATAAGTGTAATTATAAATGAGCAACGTTGTATCCTGTCAACATTACTCGAGTAATGTACACCGCCACTTATTTTTTGCAACGTGGCCTCCAGCCTCCCCCAATAGCCATTTTATTACCTTAAAATTAAATATCCTAATACATAAGTAGCTACCCTAGTTGTGTTGAGTTAGTTAACCCACAGATCTATGCGGAATTCAGTGACTGTTGCCTCATAATCCATATCTATGTTACCGTTGTTGGTTTTAGGGCCGAAGATCTCAATCCCTGAGGCAGAGCAACGCAGACCTAAGCAGAGAGAAGAACAGTTGACAACTCAACCAGGGTGACTTAACTTCTGGGCTGCTGCTTCCGTTCAGATACACTTGGTCCATCCCACCAGAGGTTGTGAACACCAGAGGAGCTGCCCTGATCAACATTCAGGATTCTCCACATATGCCCTGATCTTGTCATTCTCGTTCCTCCTGTGTGCAGTGTCGAGAGCTAGGTTATGGTGACATGCGGCCATGGGATTGAAAATCTTTGTCAAAGAAGGCTCGCTATCCCCGCTTCCAGAATCCTCCACCACTGACGTTCACACGGACTTTGTTGGATGTGTTTGAAGTCCTGTGACGGAGGTTCTCACCGTCCAATGGAAGGAGGGGCGGTTCCACCATGACGTCGTGGCAGGTTTCCTTCAGTAAATTTGTTTTGAGCCTTTTTGGCATGCCTCATGCATAAGCACTTTCTTACACACCATGGCGTGGTCGATGTCATAGGATGAGCCACAAACGCATTGCTAGGGCAAACCTTCTACTGGCCTACCGTACATTAGAGCAATGGCATCTGTGACTTCTTGTTTACTAAGATGAAGCCTTTTGACCTTATCGCTTATGTTATAAGCCAGTTTGAGGCACCCACCTCCTGTGCTATAGGTACATTATTGTCAAGTTCTCTGGCAATTGTGGCAACAGTTGCTGCAGCTTATCACTTTGTGTGTGTTGCCGTTCTGTCATAATGGACTGTCGAATCTTGTTTAATTCGTTGGTATCCACCTGACTTGCTGCATTCTGGGATATTATATGCTCAGTGAAGGCTGCTGTGAGCTTGACAGTGTTCTGTGGTGGCTAGCTCGTCTGGGTTAGTCAATCCCCTCCCAGTCTCAGTGGTAGTGCATTGAGTGACCTTTCTGGGGGGGTTAAATATGGGTTTTTCACTAGTGTTGGGCAAAAAGCAACCTTGATTTTTCTAGAAGGTGGAGGAGGGGTCCGATATCAGGGTTAGTGCACATCAGCTAATTCCAGCGATGGGACTCCATGGGTGAATGCCGCAAAAGCTGCATGTGGCTCTGTGTTTGCAATATTAAACAGAGCTTGGATTCCCTTCACCCCACCTTTTAACCTTTCCCTCTACGTACTCAGTCTTGAAGTCATTCGTGCCAATTACCGCACCTACAGTAGATGTCTTTGGCCGTCCTTTGTTATTTTATCTTCTTGCCAAACACCTCCATTGCCCGTTCATTGTGTTCTGGCTTCACAATGAGGAAGGACTTGCTGGCATTTGGGTGTTACCCTATTTGTGGACCTCATGATGTTACCAGGTCCTCCTACTACTACTACTACTTCTACTTCTACTGTACTACTACTTTGCTGTCACTCGGAATCGAGTATGACGATCGTCCGGCTATGATTTAATGGTATGAATTATTAAGGATGTCACCTAGGTTGGTGAGTTCTGAGGTGACTAAAGAGGCCGATACGGGAGTGGCAGGGTCGATCACAGATGTTGCACATGTAGGGGCTACGTCGAAGAGAAGGGCGGCAGTCTAATCTTGAACGTTGGCTTGTCTGCCTCAGTTATGCAGTCGGGCTAACCTGAAAGTATTGACACCAGGTGCTCCTCCAAGCGCTACAGTGGAGTAATCGCCCATGTGAGGGGTTGATTTGTCCTAAGACTTATACCTTACAGTTGCCCGCCAGCATTACGTTTACTATTTGTTAGGTGACTGTAAAGTAGCTACTTTGGCAGTCTACTGTCATCCATGCGGGTAACATGGCCAGTCCAGCGTACTTGTTCATGGATAATGGTAGCAGCGGATGCTCCTACAGTTGGTGTCAGCAAGAATACTAGCATCTGTTCTTGTCTTCCCAGCTTAACTCAGAGGATGGAACATAGACTATGTTGGTGAAAGTTTTCAAGTGCCTTGAGGTGCCTCCTGTGTGTGACCCATGTCTCTCTGCCATATAGCTGAGTGGAGAGGACCACTGCTTGATATTCCTGTAACTTCGTAGATAATTTCA